ATATATATATATATATATATATATATATATATATATATATATAACAATCTTCCAATCTATATACAATATGTATGTCACTTGTTATTCACATTACAAAGATCACTGACTTTGGAGTCTTACATTAAGGTCTTCATTAAAACACAGCCTCTCTCACCCACTAGATGCAGACTGGCACCAACTTTCAACTTTTCTAAGTAGGTGCTTTGCTGAACAAGTGTGATAGCATGCACAAAATCATTATATGCATGATATGGTTCCATACATACATGATATGTATAGGTACAATTTCTTTTGTGGGAATTGTTAGTTAGTGGGCTTAGAGTTTCAGCCTACGAGAAGAAACATTCTGGAAGTAGGTGGTGGTGATGGCTGTACAACAGTGTGATTGCATTCATTGCAACCAAATGGGACATTTAAAAAGTGATTGACCTGTCCCCAGAAGTTTTGCAGGTGTGGCTGCTCTGTCACATGTAAGTCAGTAGGTGGCAGAGAGGAGAGGGGCCATGTCTACACTCAGGGTTCTGACCTGGGAACACTTGAATGATTAGTAGCTTAACAGTCACTGAAAAAAGTGAGCCTGAAATAACCATAATTTTGTTGCTGTGCAGGTCCAGATGGTTCCTGGGACTGGGAACAACCTGGACACTGGACGAACCCTTCCTGGTACTGAGGGCCCCGCACTGGAGTGAGCCTGTGACAGACAACCCTCATATTTGGCCATTCAGGTAGACCAACTGAGGAGTGAGCAGGAAATGACCACTGGACCAGAGCCATGTGGCCTGAACGGGGAGCTAGCCTGAGACAATCACCAGACAAGTGCCATGCAGGTCTAGTCACAGGTATGGTGGAGAGACCATGCCTGAGATGACCCCAGACACTCAGAGACCCAGGGACCACTAAGAGGAACAAGTAAGCAGTAGAGAAATGGAAGAGAAAAAGAAACAGAAGAGAGGCAGAACTTGAGACTCAAAGGTAGAGAGGAACAGCCTTATTTGAGTAGGGGTTATGTGACCTGGGACTATGGTGGTAAACTGGACTATGCTTCTACTGGGGACCATATTTGGTTCATGGCCCTGCAGCAGCAGGGGTATAATATCACCAAAGCCCAGGCAATGAGATGTCCTTGGTTTTGGTTGCTGTCCAGGGACATATTGATGTCTGAAGGCTGTGCAGAACTGGCCCTGCCCCTCAGTTGGGCATTGTGGGCATTGTGGGGCATGAGAACAGAAGATATGACCTTGACCCTAGCAAGCTATAGTACTTCGTGGAGTGGGCACATGTTGTGGGAACTGTAGGTAAGCCAGCCAGCCCACAGAGATATGAAAACAGGAGACATGACCTTACCATTGTCTCCTGTGGGGTGATGTTAGCAAGAAAGAGATCCCTCCACTCCTTTTGCCCTTACCACTGGCTGTGGGCAGGAGAGTTGGCCCTGTTGGAGTTGTGAGAGCAGGAGAGCTGGCCCTGCTCCTCACCTTAGCAACATGGTAGAGTTGGTCCTGGCTGTGAGGATTTCAGGTGATTGGGGCCCCAAAGCCATGAGTGTGGGAGAATTGGCCCTGCCTCTTGTCTGCTGGGTGGACACTGAAGAGAGAGAGAGAGAGAGAGACACCTTCCTCCTTTTCCTGCCTCTTGCCATCTGTGGCAGTTAAGAGAGCTGGCCCTGGGGGTATGAGATTAGGAGAACTGGCCATGTCCCTTACCAGCTGCAATGCTCAGGAGAGAGGCCTCTGTACCTCACCTGAGCAGTGGGTTAGATCTGGCCCTGGTAGCTGGGTTGCTGGTGAACTGGCCCCAGGACATGAAAGTGGTTTAGCTGGTGGTCTGATCAGTTTAGATACTCCTCAGGGCCAGATCTAGGGCTTTGAATTGGCCTATCCCAATATCTACCCCCCTGATGAAATGCTGGAGTGCATGAAGGGGTCGGTCCTACAGATCCAAAACTACTACCATGACACAGGGTAACAACAAAACGTCAGAGAGGAATTCACATGAGGTTCTAGTATCAATAGAGTGGCAGAAGACAGCAAAGAATCATTGCAATGAACATCTGCAAGCAAAGAAATGTAAATAAAATGGTGCACTGTGATACATTAGAGCTTCCACAACAAGATTTTTTTTTTCTTTGTTGGGAGGTAGGTTGCAAGGGTGGAGGGTGGGCACAAAGAGAAAGGGAGATGAGTGGGACTGTGGCATCTGATGTGAAGTTTACAAAGAACCAATTATTATTTTTTTTTCTAAGGAGAAAAATATTATTAGCTTACACAATAGCAAATAGAGGCTTTTTTTTTTTTTTTTTTTTTTTTTTTTTTTTTTTTTTTTT